AGAGTCTGTAAAATTTAACCTTTACTGTACAAATGCATTTCAGTATAGGAAAACAAATTTTAAATAACACATTCTACCCAATCCGTGGCATTCTAGAATGGGAACTCAGCTTTTATTATTAATTTACAGGTAAGCCAGGATTTTCAATAAACAGATAACTTTAACTGTCTTACTTTAGGGACTTCCCAGACATGTCATCTAGATCAAAACCACTGACAAATTTCCGTGTTGTAAACAATGTTTTTTTAACACTGGTTAAAATCTTTTCCTACTATAGCAGATTTCAAACAAAACTCTGAATCATTTTTGTGCAGTAGCTAATTATACAATAACTACTTAAATTTAAAAATGTGAAAAGATTTTAAGTCCCTACATAATAGTTTCCTTTACTGTAGGGGTTAAAATGTTGAATAAAAAACCAATATGACATATATTGTCACAATGCCACTAGGTTCTAGAAGCCCATAGATTCAACAGTATACCTGAGGGAAACCAAATGACAATCCGTATAAAGGGCTCCAATAATGCCTTTTACTTTTTTAATGTGTTGTAAACAATAAATGGCCTTAGATTTCTATATGTGACCAAACCCATGAAGATTCTAACTGTGAGAAAGAATACTGGTTTTCCCCTAGTTCAGTCTACAGCTTACAGAGGGAGCTTAACAAATGTTGTTGACTGACAAACAGAAAATAATGTTTTCCCTTTTGCTCTGGCTCCCTTTCAATTTGTTCTCACATTGTAGACAGAGTGACTTTTGAAATACAAATTTGATAATGCCATCTTCCTCCCCACCATCCACACTGTATTTTCTCCATTGATCTTCTCTCGCTTTTACAATATAGAGTAAAATCCTTGACTTGATGCAGAAGGCCCAACATGGCCAAGCCCCAGTCCTGTCTTGACTATGGAGTGAGCCCTCCCATAGCATGAAGACACTCAATGCTCAGCCATCTCCTGCCCCTGACTGCTGTTCTGCTGCCTTTCCCGACCTAATACTCCTCTGTTTACTACCTCATTCTGGTCTTCCAGATTTTAATTATCACTCTTCAGGAAAACCTTCTATTAGGTCAGCTCACAATATTTTAAGTTTTCATGGGACCCTGTACCCATCCTTCAAAATATATACTGCCATTTCAAATTTCCATTTTTTAAAGTTAATATGTCTCCTCACTAGACTATGAAGTCGATGAAGGTAGAAACTATTTCTGAGTATACTAACCATTTTCCTGCATAGGTCTAGTATGCTAACATACACTAAGACTTAATATTTGTTGAGTAAAGAAATTAATAACTGAATGAATGAGTAAACAGGATTGTCTATCTGGTCACATGAGTAAAGTCACAGACAGCAGGGGCTTTATTAAGTAATATCTATCACTTTGTGATTTCAGAAATATAAAACAATCAGTCAGCATAAGTCATGTGCTTATGGCCATTTAAACAGAGAAAGTGCAAAAAAGTGACACAGTCTAATGTGAAATTTTAGCATAGATGACCTTAAAATGCATGAGACTAGATCTGGAAATCATAAGAAGTATAACTTAATTTCTCACTGATCATCCTTTTTATTCTTGTTTTTAAGCTAGTAGCTATGGAATTCAGTGATTCTTTCATCTTGTTGGGAAACTCTTAGTACCCTTGAGCAGAAGCATATTAAATAATAATGTTCCAGAAGCACTTAGATGAGATAAATATGAAAAAGCTATGCACCTAGTAAGCAGCCATCATTCAGGAAATATGACATGTTTGGTAAGTTGGGTTCTAAAGCTGATTCTCAGGGTCAAAGATGAACAAATTATTTCTGGTCCATTAGTCACTTATAAATCTATCTATCTATCTATATATTTCTCTTGAATAACACCTAAACCTAAAAAAAAAAAAAAAAAAATCTCAACCCTAATGAACTAAATCCTATACAGAAATCCTATCCAGCAGACATGATGACATAGGCTTGGGAGTAACAGTGTTTATGCTCTTCTTCCGGCTCACCACAAACCTGATCATGACACACAAGCTTTCCTGGGCATGCTCTCCTCAATACAGGAACAAACAAACAAATAAATGTATCAATCAATAAATAAAACTGGCTAGGCCTGAATAAACATAAATCCAAAATGAAACTGGCTTCATTCAATTCAAATAGTCTAGAAATTCACAGGTGCATAAGTTGTTTCAAGGCACTCTCGTCCAAGGGCAGAGGGGGGTAGAAGATAAAGAATATTCCTGTCTTCTTATGGAAGTCTTATTTTCTTTTCAATAATTCTTGTTGTATTTTAAATATGAAAGCAACTAAAATAATATTAAAATTTTAAAAGGAATGGCAGGTGAAGCCAGGGATAATCTGAATGTGTGTTTAATATTTGCTTGTTTTCTTTTCCCCTAAATTTTCTCCAAGGCATAAGAATTCATTTGTTTAAAATTAATTTTTGTAAAGAATGTAGCAATCAGTGTAAATACTGGCTCTATAAGAGCAAGGCTTTGTTTATACTTCATGTGAACAGAAATCATCTATCCTTAGCCATCAATACATGATCAGTGTTGGGAGAGGCATCCAGTCTCAATTAATTATTCAATAGTCATTTGACACACATGAAACAGAGGAAATAAGCAAAATGGAGCCAATCTTTATAGGAAGCCCAACTCTGCCTTATAACTCCATCTCCCATTTATGTGATACTCTAAAGAATCCAGCCTTTTGTTTTCCTTCCACGACTAGTGGTGATCTTTACACTCCATTTTCAGCTCAATTTTTTAAAATAAATCAATGCTCCAGTACTATCCTGATGAATTTGCTTTTCTGAGTTGAATTATCTTATGCATCAAGCACCACACTATTCAATTATGTACCTTGGTAATTCCAAATTCTTTATCTTAAAGAAAGATCTATCCATTTGCCAAAATAAAATGCATTTCAGAGACATCTAATACTGTTTCCCTTTAACGTATTACTTTTTTCATTCTTTCTCCACCTTAATTGGTCCTGCTTATTCATGATCTCTGGATCCCTACATTAAAAATGCATAGAAAAATAAAAATTTTCATTTTAAACACCTTCCCACGCAGTACAAGCTGTCATTGTGTCATATTTGTTTCCTAATTTAAGAAAGGAAGTTACATTTTCACGTGTCCCTCAGTAAATTGCCTCCTCTATTTGTTAAAATGGCATTAAGAAACTTAAAGCAATTTTGCAATAAAATAATGTTCATTTTTAAAATTTATTTTTATTAATCAGTGCAAAGGTATGCAATTTCAAATTATAATTTAGAAATCATCATTTCTAGCTACCTTATTCACAATTTACAATTAGGTTAGATTTAATTCTTAACTATAATGCCTGATTTTACATCTATGGAAATGACTGCAAAAGCTGAAGTCATGCTTCTGACCATGGAATACACAGTCTTCAATAATTACTTAAGCTAAAATATAATAAAAACGAAAACTCACATGAAGACAGAGTGGGAATAAAATAGCCCTTTTCTCTTCTTTTCTTTTTTTCAACCCCACTAGTCCATGAAAGCTACAGAACTCTCCTAAAGACCAGCCTTCTTCCTTCCTAACTAACTCCCTTTGCTGTTTAAACAATTGCAAATTGTATCAAGTCTTCATTTCTCTTGAAGTCAAGTGAGAGAGAACTGCCAAGTCTAATAAGATTTACAAAGGCTAGTTCCCCTTGGCAGTGTCAGCAAAAATAGAGAGCAAGAGGCGTACAATAACGGTCACACATACAGCTTTTCAAAATTAGACTTAATAATTCACCTTTTTTTAACCCATCTCTGCCGTACACATACCATGTGTCTGTGGGTTGACTGCCTTGCTGTTACTTCAAACCCTGACATCTTCGTTCTTGCTTAGCCGCTGATACATCTGTTTTCATCACTCACTCACTCACTCTCTGTTCATAGATTTTTCTGTATGTATACAACAGTATTTACCTTGCTTTGTCATGAAACAACATCCGAGAAACACACTGAAGACTGGATTTATTTGTAGAGGGGAAGCGGTAAAACTTAGGCATGATTTCTGTTGTTTAACGCCACACTGTTTCAATCCCCCAAGAACCACAGAAATTACAACTTGGCCTCCACTACTCAGATTAATGTCATTAGTTGAATATCCTTTGAAAATCACCTGCAATCCCTCACATGCATGCCCCGTTTATTAGCCTGCAGAAGCTTCCCAATCCAGCAACCTCTGTATTTCTCTACCACTGTATTTCCCTGTCTTAGGCATTTGTTAATTGAGAAATATGTCACTGAATCTCTGAACACTTTAAAACATTAGCTGACCTCTCTCGCACTTCAAGAAAGCACAGAAATCACAAAATTTTACTTAAAATTGATAGACGTTGGACTTGGACATAACCATGGAAACCAGTATTAATCCCCACCTCACGGGGGGGAGGGGGGGGACTCCTCCTGTTAATCAAAAAGCTTCACGTCTCCTCCAGCTTTGCAGAGCCAACAGCAAGTCTTTACCGCTCTATTTGCCAAAGGCACAGCAGTGTCTGTGAACCCCGTCTCTCCTGTCCTTTACCATGAGTAACCATCACCACGTGGGTGTTCTCAACCATGGCCATGGTGAACCTCTCCTGCGCTTCATTCTTCACCAAACACATCCCCGAGCTTCTAGACTCTAAGTGCTTGTCTGCGTCTTACGGGCAAAGTCTGTGTTTTTATAAAGCTAGAGGTGGCAGAGGGAAACGTAGTGCTCCTGTATGTGGGCCATGGCCCCTTAAATACAGAGGGACCAAGGTGCCCAAGAACCTGAGGAAGAGGAGAGGCCCAGACAGTAGGGTTGGTAGGAAGGGCTCCGGGAGCAGACTGGACCTGGGGGGTGGAGGGGCTGCTCAGTCACTGAGAGGATTCCAGGCTGGAGCTGGGGGAAGTCCTTAGGGAGGCTGCCAGACCTTCACCTCACAGCGAACTGCCACACCTTGACCGGAGAAGGAAGACCCCATGCACCAGCCCGGCCCACCTGCCTGCCCGGCCTCCCGCCCTGCCCAGGCCCAGGCCCCGCGGGTCGGGCGTCGGGCCTACCTTGGCTGCAGTCCTTGCCGCGGAAGCCGGTTCTCGAGCAGTCGCACACGGCCTGGTCGTCCACCACGGAGCACACGCCTCCGTTGAGGCACACCCCTCCCTCGCCTTCCTCGCCCGCCTCGCACGGGCTGCCCCCGCCGCTGTTGGGCGGCTCGTCGTCCAGCTTCACCTCGCTGCTGTCCACCAGCAGGGCCTGGGAGGAGTTGACGCGCACGTCCCGAATCCACCCTTTGAAGGGCTCGTTCTCCCTCACCGAGGCCAGGGTGAGCTTCAGCGCGGCGGCGCGCAGTTCGGGGGGCAGCCCCCCGACGAAGAGGCTGCTGAACACCGTCATGTCCCTGCGCTTGGACTTGACCTCCACCCACTTGGCCTCCACCTGGTCGATGAAGAGCGTGGTGTTGCGGAACTGGCGGCGGATGCGCACGCTGTGCCACGCCCCGTCGTTGACCGGCGTGTCCGCCAGCAGCCTGGCGGGCTCGGCGCAGAAGATGGAGAAGGTGAGCTGCAGGCGGCCGCCGCGCGTCAGGATGAGCTCCAGGAAGTCGCAGAAGCCCTCGTCGTCGAAGTAGAGCACGAGGCCGCGGGCGCTGCGCGTCTTCAGCTGGAAGCTCATCTCGCTCTCGCAGCAGGCGTTCCACTTGGGGAAGCGCGTCCACTGGCCCTCGGTGCCCGGGAACTCCAGCCCGCTGCCCAGCTCGGCCCAGCAGCCCAGGAGCAGCAGCGAGAGGCACAGCAGAAAGCAGCCCCCGCGCTGGAGCAGCGCCGTCCCCATGCTCGGGGCGGGGGTGCGGCGGGGGGGTGCCGGGGTCGACAGGGTCAAAATGGTCCTGGACACCGTGATGAAGAAATAAGGATCCCCAAAGGAAGGAGGGAAAGGGGGCAGGCAGGGCGGGAGGGATGGACCCTCCTTTATCTAGTTCTTTTTTTCTTCTTCTTCTTCCAACAACCCCTCCCTCTCTCCCTGTAGTCCCCTTCCAACTGGAAGACGTAGACCCCGGTGGTACAGGGCAGCCACAGAACTTCCAGACCAAAGGGAGGGTACACTTTGGAGGCAACGTGCTGGAAAAGGTGTCAACAGAAGATCAGTGGTTTATCACTGATCCATTGGAGTCTGATGAATTAGTTTAAGGGCATGTGTGGTGTCAGCAGATATTTCACTCCTCAAATACCATTCCCTGCCAAGTACCACCAGTGGGACCAGGCAAAGGTGAAGCAGTTAGAGTCGGTAAGAAGCAAACACTTGTCTCAGGGAAGTACAAAAGCCAGCAATGAACCGGTATCCTCGGATGCTTGTGGATGCCTGGAGTGCTGGCCCTGCAGATGTAGTGCCCCAAACCAGAAGGCAGGGAGGAGTGTCGCCTTTTCAGGGCACCACTTATCAACCTCAGAGCAGCTTCAGAGGCTTGCTTCTTCCATCCTGTCGTGTACCTCAGCACACTGCAGCTACAGCTCAATTCCTTGTGCCTGGTCTTACAGGGTGGATTTTACTTCTGTTTTTAACCTCCCCAGCAGCAGGACTCCAACCCAGCAGTTGTGAGATAGCCAGAAGCTGTTAGATGTGGAAATCGCAACAGCTCTTCCTCCTCCTCTCCACCTCTGGAAGACCAAGCTCAGATGCTAGCACATCAATTGGTTGTGGATTGGTGATGCATTTTGGTTGTATTTTGTCTTTTCATAAGGACCCAGAAATCTGCGGAGAATTAAAATTAAGGTTTAAAGTCAATTATAATATCACATATAAGGTATTTCTTTCAGCACAGAAAGAAGTATAGAATTGGTGCTATTACTAAGACAAAGAGTTAATCTTACCTGATGAAGCTTATTTTTTTTTTGTCTTGACCTACAAGTAAGGCTAAAATTTCCCAATAATTAACATCACACTCTTACAATCAGACATTCCACCCTTGTGGCTTATAACCATTAATACGTAACTCCAAGTTTTAAATAGAGATTGTTATCATGGTTATCTTTTTCTATTTCCAAGATAGTTTTACTTTTGAAATATATGAGGGGAGGAAAAAATGCGTGTGCTGGTTATATGGAAAGTAAAAATATTACTTATTCAGATCTCAATTAATAGCAGATTTTACAACAGGCAAAGTCAATCAAACTGTTAATAAGAAGCTGCCAGCTTCGACTTGTACAGCTTCCTACCATTTTTTTTCTCAGAGAGAGAAGGGATATTGATGGTTTCTTGGTATTCTCTTTAAAATTTTTATACAGTGTAGTCTTCCTTTTTGTTAAAGGAATAACCTTTTATTAAAAAAAATCTAATTGGAACCAGTTATGTATTTTTGGCAGTATTTATGTTTCAATTGCCATAATATTACCTCCTCTACAGATGAGTAAAATATCTAATATTTTGCCTAACAGTGTAGTGATCTAACTCCTCTTCAATCCTCCTCTGACTGGCAGCCCCTAGGATTTGTGTGGCCAGAGCAGCAGTTGGCATGTGTCACCTCAGCTCCTATGGCTCCAGGATGCCAGAATTTAAAACTATACCTTTGAATTACTCCTTATACTATTAAATCTCTTCTCTTTATACAAGTCTACTCTGGCAGATTTAAAAAGGTACAGAAATCACATATGCTGGGATTTTTTTCTAAGTCATCGCCACCCACCCCCCAAAATAAAATTACTCTTATAGTTTGAAAAAGAATCACAAATGTATCATCTGGTCATGTCAAGGAAGCACATGTATTTTCCTCAGCATCTGACACTACTCCCCCCCTACACACACATAGGGCAACACACACAAACACACATATGCCCCAGATTTATTGCCTGGACATAAAAGCTCATTATTCAATTAACACCCCCTCCCAAAAGCTGAAACTCTCAGTAATTTATGGCACCTGCATTGTGCTGCTGCTGCTGCTCTGTGGGGAGAGCTGAGAGCAATTCTCTTCAGTACAGAGCAATCCCTACAGGTGTCAGCTGAGAGCCACCAAGCTAGGGGATCCCACTTCAAGTTCCTCCCTGATGAAATTGATGACTGGTTCCTCTGTCTTTCAGCAGACACACACACCATGCCTGTGCACATACTGCCCACTAGCAAAAGGAAATAAAAAATCTCAGTTGCTTATTTGTTATGGCTGATACATCACACTAACAATCACCATTCATATCTACTCCTGTGCCAAACCCAAAGAAAGGTGCTCTTAAAAACCATCTGAAATAGCATATTCTTCAATATATTTTCATTTTTATGTGGACAGAGGAATCTGCTACATTTTCAGTCATTTGAAAAATAATCTGATTATCACAATCAAGAGTAATGCTTTGAACCCATCCTCAAGCTTGTATGTTGGAAAACCTTTTTTGCTTGTGGGTCTGACTGTGTGGGAGCCAATTTTTTATTAATTAATATTGCAAAGATCACATCACCTTCCCCTCCCCCTCCCTTGCTCTCCTGCACTAGTGCACACCTTGACAATTTTTTAAGGAATAGAGGAGCAAAGAGGAAAAAATACCTAAAGGTGTAGCGATGTACAGATAGATAGATGTATGTGTATATTCTCACCAAAGGGGAGGTTAACTGGTTCTCCCAGTTCTTAGAGGAAGCTCATTGTGTGTGAGAGCGTATCTGTATTTATATGGAGAAAGAGGATTCTCTCTAGGTGCCGGAAAGACCTGGCGAGTTCACAAATTAGAGGATGAAATAAAGGGATCTGAAAAACAATCTCACTGCAGCCAAAAGAAGAAGCGCTCTAATTCAAAAGCAGACTAACAGCCTCATTAATCTTTTCTTGCATTTCTAGAATCAAATTCATTCCCAAGCCACTGGAAGGATCAATACAGTACGATCATCAGCTGCAGTTGAATATTTTAATATGTTTATGGTATCTCTCTCTTTCTCTCTCTCTCATACACACACACACAAGCGCGCGCGCGCGCACACACACCCCTATCTTTCCATGCACCCTTCAATATATATCCTCATAAAGAACCCGAAATATGTGGGAAATTTTTTAGAAGTGCCTATCTTTTTTTGCTTCTGGCTTTTCTAAAGTCCCTCAATACAAATGCACACCCAAAATTCTCCCTGGCTTTCCCGCCCAGTCTCTAAGCTCCATCTCTATTACCAGTGCAGTTTCTTGGATCGTGGAGTTTACTGCAAAAATTAAGGATAGGGACAGTGTGGGCTGATGAAGACGGGAAAGAAATATATACATATAGATATCTT